GGCTCTGGATTCCATGCTGGCTGGTGGTGGCTGTCTACTCACGTAGCAAACGGACTGTTGATCGCTTTTACCCGAGCCGAAGAAGTTGTCGTTAGAACTGTATAAATGCATACCATCCTCATCGCAATCCGGCATGTGAGTTCACTTATGCTCCCCGGGGCCCGCAGTCCTCCGCACATGGGCAGCCGCACTGCCACCAATAGCAGTATGGGCGCTCCGGTCCCGTTAGTAGTTACTTATGACGCTGCGAAGGCTTGCCGACGGCGTGCTACTGCGCATATAGGTAGGTTGCTTGCAACTTGCATCCACCTCACTCCTTACCTTTACTCTCAAGCTCTCGTCTTCGACGTCTCTGGCAAGATGTCTGTTGAAGACAAACCTCTACCCATTGTGCCAGGCGAATACGCTGGGGACGCGTCGTCCCCTTACGACGAGGACGTACCAGAGAATCTGCGTCGCGCGACTTCCAGGCTACAGTTCCCACCGTCCTATGTCGTCGTTGGGTTCTACAGGCTCATCACGGATAAGACACTCAGAGTGCCCGCGTGGCAGAAGTGCAAGCATGGCTTCGTACGCGGGGCTTCCGTCGGTCTCATCTGGGTGAGTGGCGTCCAGCCATAGCCGTTCTGTTTGGCAAGACTCGGAGGTACGTGTGCTTATGGGGTACGGAGGGAAGGCCGCGGGGACGTACAAGATTCAGAAGACATTTGTCGAGTTCTTCCTGATCAAGTGAGTAGCCCTGCTTGAGATTCTGGCTGTTCAATGAGATCATGCTGCACACCAAGGTCCCCTCGAGTGACGGGTCTCTCGCGAGACGCGCTCTTCGGCGTTCAGATGCCCTTCGACCTTCCCACATGTGCGTCTCTCCCGATACCGTTTATGCCAACCCGGAGTGGCTGAAGGTCTAGCGCATACATTCAGACGCGACGCTGTTCTTCCTCTCGAGCCAAATCTCGACAATTATCTACTTCTTCCTCTCGCGCAACATCCGCATCGCGCGCGAGCGTGCGTGGGACCAGACGATCCAGTCGCGTGGCAAGGGCGCGGACTGGTGGCAGCCGTATGTCGAAGAGTGGGACAACCCCCCGCGCGTGAAGCCCGTCAAGTGGGGCTGGAGTGTCTTCATGAGCGGGCCTGTTGGGCGCATTGTTGCTAAACGTGAGTGGACACGCGGTCTGCACCTCTCGCCTAAGTGAGCGTGGCTGACGGCTGGACGCTGATGGTGTATGCCCAGTGATCGCCCTCCCGCTCGACTTCATCCCGTTCGCGGGTATGCTGATCGCCGCCTGGTTTAGGGCACTAGGAACGGCGAAGTACTTGCACGAACCTGTACGTCACTCCGATGATAATTGCATCAGGGTTTTCGCAAACTGACCATTTACGCAGTACTACACCGCGAAGAGCATGACCCCAGAACAGATTGCAACGTTTGTGGAGGAGCGCAAGTGGGACTACCGAGGTACGTCGTCGCCTTTGTTGGCTGCATCCTTCCTCTCACCTCAAGCCTACGACAACAGCATTCGGTTTCACCGCTGCGCTCGTGGAGCGCCTCCCCATCATCGGGCTCGTCTTCTCCGTCTCGAACCGCATCGGCGCTGCGATGTGGGCCCATGGTGAGCGTGGCAACATATCCACTTGCTTCACGACTAATAGCGTGGCTACCAGATCTCGAGAAGAGGCAGCACTACGTTGCAGCCGTAAAGGCAGGACTTGCTCCCACTGGTAGCGCTTTGAAGCTGAAGGCGGATTAGAGTTGACGGCTCTATGTACTGTCGTATGATGCATTGACACGGGCATGACGATTTGCACCTTGGCTCGCAGACGACAAGCCGCACAATTGCGTAGGTGACGCGTTGCACGCCCGGCCATGGTGCTAGTATTTTCACATGTCGCTTGTTGGGCCGGCGCAATCAGAATATGACTTGGGGTACGGCAAACGCTAGAAATACATGATGCCTTCGTTGGTGACGACACAGATACACGACAAACGTCATTAGACTCTACCATGAGCAATGTTAGCCAAGAAGAGACACCAAGCTGAGGACGCACCTGCAAATTCAAGAATCCGCCTCCCCGGTGATCGGCTCTCGTGACGTTCTCGTTCCATCCCACAGGAAGCTTCCACTGAAGTCGGACGTCTAGTGCACACCTACAAGGCCATGTGCGCTCGGGGCCGATGCATCCGTACTCAAGCACATACTAGAGTCTACGGCATGACGAATGCCCACGGCATTGTAGCAGACTTGAGTGAGCGTGCATACGTACGCCTCTGCTCCCGGTCCTGTCGTTATTCTTGTCTTTTGTCGAATGGGCGATGATTGGACATGTACATCCGATTCATACGGGGTCCATCGCTGCTATAGCTCGCGGGCATGCCACTAGCCAACAGGGTACGGGTCTGGTACGGGTACATAAATGCGACCGTTGGGTACCACTTCGTTGTACTCGCCCTTACCTGGACGCCCCGACCACCAACGCGCCGAGACACTCCCTCGCACGATGAGCTGCCCCAATTGCGTGTCCGGCACTATTCACCACGGCACTCCCAAAGGCGCCGAGGTCATCGTTGGCGGCTTCAACGCATACGCCGTCGGCGACGAGAACTCAGACCGAATTATCGTCATAGGAGTCGACATCTTTGGGTGGAAGTTCGTCAACACCCGCCTCCTCGCGGACGAGTACGCGTCGCACGGCTTCAGGGTGGTCATTCCCGACCTCTTCAATGGTGCGTCGCAGGTCCCTCTGCCGACGTCCGGGCACTCATGCATCATGGACATGCAGGCTACGAGCTACCACAGTGGACGCTTGCCGCACGCGACCCCGTGTACCCGCGCACGCTCTTCCAGCGGTACATCGCCCTCCCCGCCTCTCTCTTCGTGCTCGCCCCCTTCGTCCTCCGTAACGCCCCGCGCCAGGCGTCGACACTCGCCACCGTCGCCTCCGCCCTGCGCGCCGCGCGTCCGTCGGCCAAGGTCGGGTTCGTCGGGTTCTGCTGGGGCGGCCGCTTCGCCATCTCGGAGAACCACCAGTTCGACGCGACCGTCGCGTGCCACCCCTCGCTCGTCAAGTTCCCACAGGAGCTCGATGGCGTGAGGAAACCGTTCAGCCTTGCAGTGGCCGCGACGGATCATGACTTCGACAGGGCACGGGCGGAGGAGACGGAGAGAATTTTGAAGGAGCGGGGGCTAGCAGACGTGCAGGTCGTGGTGTATGAGGGCGTGGAGCATGGCTGGACGATTCGTGGTGACATGTCGAACCCGACCCAGAAGAAAGCGAGGGACCAGGCGGTGCAGCAGGTTGTGGGCTGGTTCGAGAAGCACTTGAAGACGTGAGGCCTGAGGCGTTGCAGAGCCTGTATGCTGCTTTTCGCTCGCGAGGCTTCCATAGTCATCGTTTGCCGTGTGGCTCCGAGGTCTTATATTCAAATGATGATTTATACGACACTTGCGCATCGTCCAGTAGTGTTATGTCTGCTGGTATCAGCTTGAACAAGGAGCAGTGAATGTGGGAAAATAGGACGCGGTATCATCGCGATGTCGTGCACCTCGGACACGCACCCTACCGACCTGAAAAAACTTCGTCTGACCCTGCTATCGGTCTGTACCAGAGCGGAATGATGACGCCTCTTGTTAGGTTCGGCTACGAATGTCATCGTGAGCAAGTCCAAAACTGTTGTCACATACGGTGGGCTACATGCAACGAGGACGTCAAGTCCATCAGAAGGTGAGCACTACTCTATGACGATGCCTGCTTGGGTGCCTGGTGGGACTGTAGCCGGATGAGCATACGCAACTGAGCGATTAATGCAGCGCACACACCTTTGCACCCTCACGAGCTTCACCGATGTCGGTAGGGCCGCTCTCGCCCTCATCCTTGAAGGTGCCCTGAGGCGAATGGCCGGGCTTTTCTTTTTGGTCGGGCTTCTTCTCGGCTTCCTCGGTCTGGCCAGGGGCGCCGCTGCTGTAGGTCGCATCACGAGCCTCCTCACGCTGGGCATCTTCCGGCAGGTTGGCCTTCTTCTCGGTTGCCAACGCGTCAGTTCTATCTTAGAACGTCAAGAACCATGCCACGTACGAAAGCTTGCTTCATGGACGCGTCGATCTCTTCAGCCGACGCGGTTGTGCCCTCGGAGTCAGTCATAGCAGGTGCGCCGTGAACCTTGCCATCCTCGGAGGCGGGGGAAGAGTCCTACATGCTGTCAGCGAGGTGTGGTAGCGCATGCAGGCTAAACTCACCGCCGCTTCAGCAGCCTGAGCATCCTTCGGTGAGTCGGACGCCTATCCCCACGATCAATCTCTTATATGCGATGAGGGAAGATACTAAGGAACATACCACCGCCTGAGCGACAGATTTCTCAACCTCCGAAGACTCCTCTTCCTTCGGCGCCGACGAAGGAGCGGGGATGGAGCTAATCCCCGGTTTCGCGTGGTGGTGCTCAGCAGCGTGCTTCGCCTTGCCTTTAGACCCAGAAGTCAGAAGGTATGCCATCTGTACGCATCCCGACACGTTGCACGATGAGCGACGCGTCACAAGCAATCATGACGTAGTAGGGCACGCACCAATGGCCCGAACACGAGTGCAGAGCCAATCTACACGACACGCACGCATACACGCGTCGGTGAGCACACTGCAGGCAAGCAAGAGTGATGACGCACGATCCAAGGCATGTCGCTAGCCTGCTTCGTGGCATGGCCTGCACCTGTGCTGGCAAACCTCGAGCTCCGAGCGGTGGGAGCAGCAGCGCGAGGAGCAGGGCGGACAGACTGGGTGAGCACACGGCGTGCGAGGCGGGAGGCCATCATGGTCAAGCTGTAGAGACGGCGAGAGGACTGGCGTTTTGTGCAACAGAGCGGGTGCAGAGAGGGTGGGAGACTTGCAAACGCGAGGTTTCCCGAATCCCGAGGACGATGCTCAAGCGCTTTGCAGTCCGTCGATGACGTCGCGCGTTCAGAGTGAGACATGCGACTGCAACATGTGTGCACTGTGCAAAACCTTCCTAAGCCCGCCTAGCTCAATCGGATAGAGCGTGAGACTTTTACGGCGTGATGGCCAAGGGATCTCAAGGCTGCGGGTTCGACCCCCGCGGTGGGCTGTGCATGTTGCCCTGTCGGCTGGATTTTTTGTCCGACTGCGACTTTGGCAATTTGCAAAGGTCCAGCAAAGTAATTCATCGTCACGTTCAATGTTCATCCTCGTGGAATGACTACTCGCTTGCAGTGGATGTGACTTGCGCTATTTTCGTCTTCTCATGTTGACCCATGGCGCTACGTCCGTAGTCCGAGACTCCGAGTAGGATCATCTTTCCTCGCACTCGTTATGCTGCTATGTACTAGGGTGTCGGTCGTCGATCGCGATGTTCATGAATGCGTCGACGGGTTACATACAGGTTGGTCGTCCGTCGCGGTACCTGTATCTCGAAAGAAACATCAAAATACCGTGCACCTGGCCCACTAGTAGACTCTATAGCACGGCTTGCAAGCTCTCCGCTTCAAACATAAGATCCATCCTTCCATTGGCCGGGCTCGTCACACGCTGAGGGATAGAGTGGTCGCAGACCGCAAAAGAAAAATCGTTCGTATTCGGAGCGTCAACTACATCATGAGCATGAGCATGATCAGAGCGTGAGGGGGGACGATAAGCAGGGGGGCGGGGTCAGTAGTCGTGAGGGGTCCGTGACGAGAGGGGGAGGGGGGGAAGGGTCGTGCGAGGCGGGAGCGTCGATAGATACTCGAATAACGCGAAAGCAGCACTGACGAGACGAGACGAGACTTAGATAGCGACGACGGGAGATGCAGAGGATGCGGAAGGGGAAGGGGAAGGGGACGGGGGCTGGGGGGGAGGGGAGGGTACAGATGGGAAGCAGGGGGGAGGGTTAGAGGGAAGAGACGTAGGGGTGTGGAATGTAGCTATGTATGCCAATGTACATATGACGAAGCGAAATGCGATAGATATGGACAAGTGGGGAACGAAAGCCAGCTATTACACAGGAACAGACAGACAGTCTTCAAACGAACCACAGCGTCCTCGCGGGCCGGATGCGGGTAGTGTGTAGGGTTATACGAATCTAAGCACACAAGCGGTGAACGACGAAACGAATCCGAACCCGGAAAACAGAACGAAGTAAACACGAGCGCACCACGGCCAGATTAGTGCCAGGCAGGCTTCACCGTCCGCGCATGAGGCTTGCCAGTGACGATCGCCTTGAACGCCTTGCGCATGATCGCGATCGTGTTATGGTTTTGCTCCTGCATCGGCCCCGCGGGCGTGCTCATGAACGCGCCGAACTCGTCAATCGACGACGCCCGGCGCAGGTCGTCGCTCGACACCGGCGGCGGCATCGGCCGCCTCCCAGTGAAGAACTTCTGGCTCCGCTTCGCCATCGACGAGTGCGGCCGCAGGTTCTCGACAGGGGCGCGCATGCTCTCGGACTGATAGCCCTTGCCGTTGCGCTTCACGCCTGTTGTCGACATGAGGAACCTGACGGATGAGAGAGCGGTACACTGATCAGAGGCACGTCGCAACTAAAGCATGGGGCTCATCTCACCGATCATACACGCCCTCGAGATGCCTCTTCGCAGGAGTGTCCAGGGGGACAGAGTCCCTGTTAGCAACGGGCCTGGCGGGGTACGGCTCAACATGGAGCGGAGACGCCGTGAGCTCGTCTTGTTGCCTCTGCGGGGTCGACATAGTCGCAGGCTCCTCCTCGACGCGCACAGGCGAAGACGCGATAAAGATGTTCTTGGGCACGACGGCAGACAGCCGCGGGGTCGGCGCAGGCTGCGCGACTGTACGAACGCAAGGAAACCGTCAGCAATGCTGAGATGAAAGATGAACAGGGCATAAGGAGGACGTACGGCGCTCCAGCTCGAACTCGAGCTTCGTGATAGGCGTGATGGGCCTCAAGAGGTCCCCATGGCTCCGCGACTTCTCCCGCCTCTTCGACGGCGACACGTCGATCTCCAAGCTCATCGCCCGCCGCGCCGTCTCTGGCGAGCGGGTCACGACCGTCGCGCGGCGCTTCCTCGACGGCGTCTCAGGTGGGGGAGCCAGCGTGATGCTCGGGCCCGTCGACGCCGCACGCACCTCTGGCTGGGGGTGGTGGTACTCGGACGGCGACTCCACGTACGCCCCCGAGTGCAAGTGCGACTCGTCGATCCTGCTCGGGTGCTCAGAGGGGATCGTCGGCAGCGTGTGGTCCGCAAAGTTCATCGTGTTCAGGATCGACGGGCTCGGGAGCGGCGACATGGACGCGGCACTGCGGTCGAGCGAGAACGCACCCGAGTGCCGGCCGCTGTACGCCTCGGGCTCGTACTCGTTCACGAAGATCTGGTTGGCGGCGAGGATCTTGCGCGGGACGCGTGGTGCCCTGCCCGAGCGGCTGTGGCTGTTGGACGACCGCCGGGAGAGCGACGCGATGGGCAGAGGCAGCGCGGGTGGTGCTGGGGCCGAGCTCGTCGAGGCGGCGAAGTTCTGGCGTGCTTCATCGACGACTCCTACACGCCCGATAGGGAACAACTCTGAGTGATGAGGGGAGAGCACGACCAACGCTACAACTCACTCTCAACGTTCTGGATCCAGAGGGTCATGCGATCCATCCTGGTTTCCTCCTCATGCCGAGCTGTAGGTGTGTTAGCTGCGTCGTCCACATCCAGTCGAGACAAGAGGTTACTTGCCATCGTCCTCCCACGACGGCTGCTCGCTCAGGCTGTGCGAGTCGTCGTCCGCGTTGTCCGATCCAAGGGTCAATGCGGGCGTCGACCGGCCCAGGAGTTGAGTCGAAGACTTGTAAAGTCGCACCGCGTTGCCTACACAACCCTGTCAGACTCCGATCCTTATGGAGCACGATATGAAGACGCACCGATCGACATCCTGAAGCCCTGCTTGAGCACACTGATGCTCGACTCGTTGGCCTGCGGAGAGGCTGGCTGCGTGCGGTCAGAGCGTTCAGAGGGTTCTACAAACGGCAAGCATAAGCATAAGCATTCATCCCCTACCACTCCCCAAGCACCCGAGGCGAGCCGTCCAAATGCAGGACCGAAGTCCGGATCCGCAGACGCAGAGCACGTACGCACCTTCAAACAGCGGGCTCAGCGGCGTCGCGAGCGCAGTCTCCGGCGGTGTCAGCGACGGCCCAACGCTGATCTTCGGCAGCACCCATTCCCGCTCGCGCGCACGCTCACGTTCGCGTTCGAGCCGCTGGCGTTCGCGGTCGCGCTGCTCCTCCTCCTCGCGCTCCCTCTCCTTCTCGCGCTCCTCCTCCTCGACCTCGCGCATGCGCTCCTTGAGGCGCTCCATCTCGCGCAGCCTCTCCCGCTCTCGCTCCCACTCCATCATCCTGCTCCGTACAGAGTCCTTGCTCGTGTCCGCCGCCTTGTTCTCCTTCTCCTTCTCCTTCTTGCCCTCCGCCTCCTTCCCGCGCTCTTTCGCCTTGTCCTTGTCTGCGCGCCGTGGTGCCGACACGTTCTCGTCCTGCTTCCGCGCGCTCGTCACGTCCCGGAGGATTTGCTGGCTCCGCCTCCTGTTGTCCCGCGCCAGTCCTGGCATGTTCTCCTTCTGGCCACGCAGCGTGCCCGGCGGAGAACCGAGCGACGGTGACGACGCCGGCGAACGCGGGCCGAGCGGCCTGCGCGCCGTGCGGGTCTTGCCTGCATCATTCTCCTTCGCCTTCTCCTTCTCTTTGCTCGGCGGCGCGGCAGGCGACGTCGAGGTAGAGGCAGACGGGGAGGCAGAGAAGACCGTGCTATGCGGCGGCGGGGAGTGTTTAATCGGGGAGAGCGCGGAGAACACGGCGGGCATCGCGTGCTGCCGTTTCGTCTGTGACACGCCGCGCGCTGCAAAATCGGCGCGTAAGCTACAAGCAGGTGCGGGGAAGGAGACAACGCAAGTACCGTTGCTGTCGGCCGCGAGCTGGAGCTTGGGCTGGGACTGCGAGCGCGTGTGGCCATGGGTCGTCCGCGTTGGCGCCGCCGGGGCGTCCCTCTCGCGCTTCGCAGCGCTGGCAGCCGCGTTCTCCTTCCCGCCCGCCTTGCTCTTGTCCTTGTTTGTCCGCTCCTTGTCCTTCTCAGCGTCCTTATGTTTCTCCTTGTTCGCGCGCGATGCCCACGGGGTGACGATGCCCTCGAACGTGAGTGATGTCGAGCGCGAGTGCGAGACGCTGGCCGATTTCCCTGCAAACACCCAAGCTCGTCAGTCACCGTACACCAAGTCTCCCAAGTCCCAGTCCCATGAGTGAGTACTCACGGTGCGCGTGCCCTGGCTCGCTCGCCGTCCAGTATGGGTCCTCCGTCGCCTGGGAGGCCGTGCACCTGAGATCGGCATTCGGGAGGACCATGCGCCTCAGCAGCTTCTCGATGCCTTTCGACATCTTCCACGTCCCGACCCACTTGCCGCGGAGGGTGCGTGCCCAGTATTTCTCCAGGTCGGCCTTGGTCGCAAACTGCTCGCCTTCCGAGTGTTCAAAGGGCGTCCGACCGACGAGGATCTCGAAGAATGTAACGCCGAGCGACCAGACGTCTGACTTGCGCGTGTCGTGCGGTAGTCCGCGCGCGCGCTCCGGGGAGAGGTACTGGGTGTGCGTGAAGGGGGACGGGAACGCGTCGGGTGTCGGGTGATAGCGGGAGTTTAGGTTTTAGTTTTATGGAGATAAAACGTGCAGGCAGGCGAAGAGGGCGTACGGCGCGCATATAGTCAGCCAAGGGTGGATGTGATTGAGAAGGAGACGTACTTCGGGGGTGCCGTACGATAGGTTGCTATGGAAGGCCTCGGCGGACTGGAGGTCATAACGCTCTGCGAAGCCAAAGTCGACCAGGACGGGCACGTTCTCATTCGAGAGGAGGATATTGGCGGGCCTGCGTTCGTCAGCACTGTAGTCTCTACGCAATCTCTGCAAACGCGGTGTGTACGGGCACTACATACTTGATATCATTGTGGACAACACCGCGCTTGTGGAGGAATTCGACGCCGGAAAGGAGGGAGCGGAACCATTCCTTCGCGTGCGTCTCGGAGACTTCGACTGTAATGAGGCGGGGATGATATGCCCTGTTTGGTTAAGACTGGGTTAGGGATTTCTCGGAAGGAGACCAGTGATGGAGA